AAATTACGTTCATTTCCTCTGAGTAGATCCGTCAGTGGCTGCTTGGGCTAAGCGCAGCGCGAAATGAAGCGTCGAAGGTGGTCGGAGGTGCTTGAAAAAGTCGGAGCCCGGAAGTCCTTGATTGCCTGGATCTTATCAGGATGGACTTCAATACCAGACGATGAAACGAGGTGGCCTAGGAATTCTACCGTTGATTTGCTGAGTTCCCACTCAGTCGGGTTGACTGTGACACCGTGTTGGGTCAAGGGCTGCAAGGGAGTTCGAGGAGGTTCGAGGTGCTCTTGTTCCGATGAACTGGCTACTAAGACAACATCGCGGTAGGGACAGAGGAAGTCTAGGCCACGAGTGACATCGTGGATGAAGCTTTGGAAGGTTTGTGCGGCGTTGCACAGTCCAAATGGCATTCTTAAAAATTCGAACAATCCTAAAGGAAAGATGATGGCTGCTATAGGAATGTCATTGCCTCCCACAGGTGTCTGGTGATAGGCGCGTACCAGATCGATCTTGCTGAATCTCGTCTTACCTGTGAGGCATGCGGTAAGGTCCTGCATGTTTGGGATGGGATTCCTATCTGGGACGGTTAGGCGATTGAGTGCGCGGTAATCGCTTCAAGGGCGCCAGGCACCAGATTTCTTGGGGACCATATGCAGGGGCGAGGACCAAGGGCTGTCGGAAGGGCGGATTATTCCAAGTTCAAGCATGTGCTCAAACTCCGCCTTAGCTACCTTTAGTTTCTCAGGCGATTGTCGGCGTGGACGGTATGACACAGGTGGGCCGTTCGTCTGTATGTGGTACGTGACTTGAGCTGCCACGGGCAAGGCTGAGTTCATTGGCTGAAATAGCATGGGATACTGAGAAAATGGAGTAGCATTGTCTGGCGAGGTCTGGGAAGATGCATAGACCGGGGATATAGATGTGACATTGGCGGTGATGCCACGTACGCTGAGTTTTGTTGCAGTGTCGACTATCATCTGGCGTTTTGCATCGACCAAGAGGTCGAAAAGCCTAAGAAACTCAACACCGATGATGGCAAAAGGGACTGCAGCGACAGTGAATACCCAGAGAAAAGTGCCCCGAAGACATAGGTCCAGGGTAATCGACCGACGACCCTAGGTGGCTATTGGCGTGCCATTGGCGGCACTGAGGCTTGTCGACAGAGAAGTGGTAGGCTCACCTGGCATAGAGGAATGACGCTGACTTCAGCTCCGATATTAATTAAGAAATTGGGCTCGGAGTCGTAATTCCTTATGTAGATGAGACGTTTTTGGGCTTTGCCGACACCGTTAGCCGCCATTAAGTGCCGGTGTGGCGGATCAGGTATAGTGGAGTAGCTGCACGGCTGTACGCACTTACGGGCTTTATTACCGAAACGCGAGTGGTAAAAGCAGTAGCCTGTGGCAGCAGGCTTTTGCTACAGGTAATGATCCAGAGCGGTTGCGGTGCTTACGGGGTAAAGTGAAGTCCTCGATCTGGCGCTGAAACGACACTAGCTGTAATGACAATGCGTCTATTGCCGACGACCGGCTGGCTGCGGGGGTCGGGGTGGTTGCGCCAGCACAATGCTGCGTAGGTGATTTGGTATTAGTCTCTGGCTGATGCCGTTCGATGACGCGGTCTGCTAGATCTGCAACTGCTGTGAGTGGCAAGTCACTTGCCACTACAAGGATAGCCTGAGGGCTTTCAGGAAGGCGTTGCATCCACAGCTCGCGGAGACCCCCGGCGTCCAAGTTGGACGTGCCGATGAGCTGCTGCATTTCGCGCAACAAGGCTTGGGGCATCCTATCTCTCAGTTGCAGGTCACTAAATGGTTGCTGCAAACGGACCTTGACAGAAGGTGTGATTCGCTGTATTTGAGCCTGTTTAAGAATATCGTATTTCATTACTGGAGGGGTACAGTATGATGTCTCTCACCTGTGAGGATATACTCTGAGGAAGGCAAGATAATAGCTGATTATACATAGCGAAATCAGAAGAAATCCTACGTGTATAAGATACGGATACTTGGTGCAAAACCCAGACTAAAGGATCATTCTCCCAAAAAGGGGGCGGGGGTAAACCAACAGAAATAACCATGCAAGGTTGAACGGCGTTAGCCACGCATGGATACGGCTCATCCTCTAGGTAGTCTATTGAAAAAAAACAGATAAAAATGTGGTAGGTGAGAAACAATATTATCACGAGTACTGAATCACAAAAGCACTGGAACCAGCTCACCAGAATGAAAAAGCAAAATGGCGGGCGGCATATTGCTGACGGGGGTCACCAATCGGTGGGAGGAGCCTAGGATACTAGTCGGTAAGCAATGACATGTAAGACTTGTCAAATACGACAGCATAGAAGTCGGAGGCGACTGAACCCAAAGTATATTATGCAGGCTACAGGAATAAGAAGCGAATCAGATAAAGCGAAAAATGTGCAGCGAGGTACTCACTAAAACGGCTTGTGTCAGCGGACGTGCAGTCGGTAAAACAAGTGGACGTTTCGCAGGTTAAAGCAACCGTAAAATCCAATGTTACAAAATACTGAAAGAGCTTGTTTTCCAGTAAACTACAGGTTCAGTTCTTGCAGCAGTTTAAGGAACGCGTTTCCACCACAGTAAAAGCAGTTAAATAAGAACCCTCAGGTACTCTGGGGACAAGTTCAACGCTAGCCAATGCGGCCCCATGTACAAAAGCCCCTGCATACAGCTCGCCAAGTGCACTGCGTTACCTGAGTCCGCATACGCACAAGTTGCTTTTGCCCGCATCAAACTTAGGATTACCGAATTTGAACCGCAAAGTCTCTTAAAAAGCGAAGCAATTTTTCGGATTTTCCGATGCTCCATCAGCCGATTCCTCTTCGTACACCAGCGAGCTTTCTTTAAGTGTTGTTTACAACTATTTCTAGCCTCGCGGTATCTATCCTAGGTTCTATTTGATGGAGCCGCGCGGTAGGTCCTCCAGCACCTAGAAAGCATTTGGAACAGGTAATTGCCAGTGGTATCTATCCGTGGCGGCCGCGCTCATGTCTCCTTTCTGCTCGCATGCGGGACGTAATGAATGGACACTTCCGTGAGATAAGACTCAAATTTATCCCAGGCCACCTGAACCGTATCAACCACCGAGGTTTCGCAACGCAACCCAGAAGCCTTGACACTCTTTGCCTGATAGTTAGCATGCCATATGGTTGGAAATGACTTAGCGATGCTCTGGTGACGCCTGGTCACAGTACACCTGAACCAGAAACGAACCTGATCACGGGCGCCTCAGGGAAAGCTGTAAGTGATGGCACCTACGAAGTCTAGTGACTTAGCAAAAACTGGATCCAAAATAGACGGTGGTTGTGCATCCAGGTATCTAGTAGGGAGGTCGAAGAAATGATGCAACGGTACTTGTAGCGTAAGCTCAAGAACATGTGCACCGAAAGTACCTTCCGCCGAGTTGCAAGAAAGACTTGCTCAGCAAACTTTCCGTAGATTGAAATCTCCCAGTAGCAAACACCTGTTTGCGGATTGCGAGCGAATAAAATCAAGTACCTCCTTGGACGCACTCCCAACGCTTCTGTATCCAAGTACAATCGTAAGTTGAGCTGAGGAAGTGCTAATCACTACCGACAGAGCTTTGACAGTTTAACCTGCCGACTGAAGCATGCAGGTTACTAAAACGTCAAGCCTTCAGCTACCATAAAGCGCAACTCCCTGCCTTGTCGGCCAAACAAGCAATCACATCTGAATAGTGCGTAGCCAGATAGATGTACTTCAACGTCCGTGATGTCCCGAAGCAGCCACGTTTGAGTGAATGCATGTATATCGGGATGAGGCCCATCTACAAGCAGATCTAGCTCGCACATCTTGTTCCTTAGGCTCCGCATATTGCTTAGCACTACCTGAAGGTACTCGTAATGTCCAGTCCGGGGTCGTGCGCTGCCAGTACTGGCACTGGTAGGGCGGAAACAGACCGCCAGCTGACCACCCGAATACCCACCAACCGGAGACCTTGTTCACCGGCCGCTCGCCTGGTTCCGAGGTCCATACTGGCCTATTTAAGCTTCAGCCTCTTAGCTAATGGGAGGTCTCGCTGAACGATAACATTTGTACCCTTCAATTTAAACGCAAACCGCAACAGTGCGTTGCTTTCCTCCGGGGTGATGGGACTACAGGAAGTAAACGCGGTCGAGGGTTTGGGACGTTAACTGGGATGTTACCTAATCTAGTCAGTTTGCTGACCATTGCTTTGCAACAGTTGCGTAACCTCCACTTTCGTGACACAAGTTACGATGACGCCGCCGTACGTCATACAAATAGCGCCTTGTTATACGAAGGTTACATTGAAGACGTACAATTGCACGCCGCTCCTGGGTGCGACGAAACGTCTTCATGAAGTTAAGCACCATGCTTTCCTGATCCGCCGTTAGCTGCCGCATTTCGCCTTACAGCCAAGGCTTCCCCACGTGAAAACTGTGTTAATGCCAAAGACAGGCGTTTTTACTCTCGTAACATTCCCCTTAAAAACCGCTGAGAACCGCGCAGGGCAATGGTAACACGGGTACCTGTTAAAAGATATACATTAGGCGGCTACAAAACACTTACCGCTTTCCAAAAACCTTCGATCGCTTAATATGCACCCACACAAACTGATTATACAGGTACTGTCATATTTCCGGTAGCACATATGCAGTCTCCCATTGGCAAGCTGTCGCAGTTTTAACGCTTCGACGAATGAACAACATCACCGTTTACACCCGAAAACGTTTCAGATCGCATTCACATCCACATATGGACCCTTGAAGGTAGGTCGGAATGCACACCATGGCTGCTCTCGCCAGAAGCGGGAAAATGATTAACCCCCGTAGCCCATTTAAACCGTTCACTTTATTGATTTCTAATCCTCCTCAGCATCCTCCTCAGCATCCTCCTCAGCATATTAACAGTTAGACTTACATACTAATAACCACACACATGCGACGGAAGGCCCAATACTTTTTTTTAATCAGCATCTAACCTTGTGGACCAAAAGCACTCTGTGCTCTGTGGGTACCTTTGTGCTCTGTGAGTACTACGCGGTAACTCGATTTTTTTGGCGTGTCATACTGATCGAGCTTTCCAGTTGAAATAACGTGGAAAACAGTGTTTGAATAAACACTTGAAACGGAATTTGACTATTTTCAAATTTTCTCTGATCCAAGATATCTTGGGTCGATTAAAGCGGTACTGGCCAAAGCGTCTTTGGCGCTTACTGGTAATTTTTCCGGTTGTTCCCAGTTTTAATCCCATTTTGCACCCTGTTTTTGCCGTTTTTTGCGGTCGTTTTCCTATTGTGTACGTGTTGTAATTCTGCTTTGTTATCCTCATGGATATGGCTGTCTCGCTAAACACCGAGACGGATGGACGTATGGGTTCCTCGCTTGATTAGTCTACTGCAGCTGGCGGACAGGTTAACTGTTCAGAGTCAGTAACAGATGTACCTGGCGGTATGCAGTGTGACGTCTGCTGCCGCTGATATCATGAAAGCTGTACCGACCTACAAGCTGACCATCATCAAGCGTTCACTTTCTTTTCATCTGTGCTGAACGCTGCGCTCCAAGTTCGACGCGCCCGGCTGTCACCGGTGCTAAACTTTCAGTGCTGGCTTCAAGGTTGGCAGATGTTGAGGAGGCGATAGCTAAACTCGCCTCTATTGTGTCGTTCGATAAGAAAATGAATTTGATTTTAAAATTCCTGAATATTTCGTTTGAAGACACTGCCATAGACGGCAACGTTGCTGACGATCCATCCACTGGAGCCTGTCACTCGGTCATAAAGTCGCACATCCTACCGGCCAATCCAGGTAGCATTGCTGGCTGTCCTCATGAGCCGATAAGTGAAGAAAAATAGGGTGCGGAAATACCAAATCTGCTAAACCCAGAAAATTAGTTGCCACGGCATCGAAAAAGATGCCGTCTTTGACAGTCGTAAAGTCGTCTGACGATTGTACACAGAACTTTCCGAAGATGCTGACCGTCTCGGCCGCCAGTGAACCAGCCCGTTCTGACGAAGTGCTGGTAACTGCTCAATGCGATACAAAGTCAACGGCCCCTGCTCCATTGATCCAAAAGAAGAAGCGGACTAGATCTGCTTGTAAAACTTCGAAGGGGCTTGAAGGCACAGGAACTAGTAAGACGTCGGCAATAGACCGCAAAACCAACGCTACCGTTTCTTCGGCGTCGTTTCGGAAGACAGGGGCAGTCACACTGCCATTGGTGAAAACAGCTGGTATAGGTGTCGACTCCAAGGCACGTGGGGTAAACACTCCCCGTCGTGCCGACTCTTTTACGGATAGTAGCGTTATATTCCGTAATGTTACTGAATCTGCGACCGCTCTCCCAAGGGAACGCATCTTGGATGACATCAAGTGGCTGAAACTGTGTGTCAGCAAGCTGCTTCCGCCTGGCTTCCCTGGTGTCATTAACAGAAAGCTGACCAGATTGGGAAACGTCCCTATCGCTACGCCAAATACACGACCCCGACTACTTCGCGTAGTCCTTTCTACCCCGGAGGAACGTAAATCATTACTGCGGTTTGCGTTCAAACTTTAAAGTAGTGGTGTCAGTGTTCAGCCGGACCTACCACTGGCAGATAGATTGAAGTTAAAGAAGGCTATCAAAGACCTCAAAACTAGACGGGTGGCTGGTGAGCCAGGCCTCCGTCTGATGGGTTTTCAGGTGGTCAGCCGGAAGTTACTTTCCGCCCTATCAGAACCCATCCTGATGGCGCAGGACCCAGGGATGGTCGTGCCAACTTCCTTGAGGTAGTACTTAGCAACGTGCGTAGCCTAAGGAACAAGGTGCACGAGTTGAGTCTACTTGTAGACCAATCTCGTCCCGACATACTTGCTTTCACTGAAACGTAGTTGTCTCCGGATATCACGGACAGTGAGGTATATTTACCTGGCTACGCGCTGCTCAGAACTGATCGCTCCGTTGGTCGCCAAGGCGGAGGCGTTGTACTGTATGTGAGCTGTAACTTAGATGTGTTACGGATCTGCACATTCCAGTCCGTCGCAACGAGACTGGACCTTAACGTGGTGCGACGGTTTGCGTACCTCATTGACCCATTGAGCTATACTGGGTGATGCCTCCGAGCATCTTGAGAGCTACTCCTACAAGGTTGGTCAATGGTGAGAGGTCAGACAAACTCAGTCTCCTGGTCCTCCAGGTTGGGGGTTTGAAATGGGATGGCGTCCATTTCTGTAAAACTAAATCACTGCCACCCCGCTGCCTTGCGGACAGGCTTTTGAGCCAAAGGCTTTGGATGAGGACCCTAATCGTTCTCCTGTCTAGGTCTGGGCGCCCTGGCAGTATCCAGCCCACATACAACCATGACATTTTCTTCAAACATAAACTTCATCCTGCATCGGCCGTCGCGCAGATTATCAAAGGTCGCCTTATCTGCTGCATACAGCAGGCCGGATAAGCGAAAGCATGCTACTGCTGGCGCCTCCCTTCTTTCTTTTCCACCTTTTTCTCTTACTCGCATCCCGGCCCCCATTACTAACCTTCCTTCTATAATTCCCAGCTTAATTGACAGCAGCCGAAGTGCTACTGGAGTAGAACCATCTGCAGCCACCATCCCACAGCACCTATCGGACGCCTATCAGCAAAAGTCCCTTATAAGACCACGCTGTCCCGTTTCCATGGCGACATTCAACGTCCGCACTCTAAGACAAACGGGTCAGCAGGCTGCACTCGCACGCATCTTGGACGCACTGGGTGTTGATGTGTGTTGTGTGTCCGAAACTAGGATTAATGACCCTAACGGGGTTATTGAATTGACTGCACCCGGCTTATCCTCTCGTTATTGGTTGCACGCATCCGGAGACGCCGATGCGGCACTCACGGGTCAAGCTGGTGTAGGTATCATTTTCAGCTCCAAGGCTGAGTCATCGTTGGTTGATTGGATTCCGGTGAACAGCCGTTTATGTGCAGCCCGTTTGACGACATCAGCTAAGGTGAATTTGCGAAGTAAAACAAAACGCTGTTTGTTTGTGATTTCTGCTTATGCTCCCACGGACTGCAGTTCTAATGCAGTCAAGGACACTTTCTATCACGAACTGAACACGCTGCTACGCAGTGCCACTAGTTCAGATATTATAGTACTTGCAGGGGATATGAACGCACAAGTAGGGCGTCTGAGCTCTTCAGAAGCTCAGCTGGGTGGTAAGTATGGACTTAACGCCGAACGGACTGACAACGGCGAGCGTCTGCTGCAACTGTGTGCGGAGCACCAGTTGTTTCTTAGTAGCACTGCTTTTAGACACAGTGGGCGCCGAAGTGCCACTTGGCGTCCACCTGTAGCTGGTCAGCGATGGACCCAAATTGACCACATAGCCATAAGTTACAGGTGGCGCGGTTCCATTCTGGATTGCCGCTCGTACTGGAGTACCTGTGTCGACTCTGACCATGCCTTGGTGCGCTGTCGTTTCTCCATGAACTTTACCGGAAGGCGCACCAAGCGTCTCCCCCGATTGGCAACGGTGAAATTGTCCCAGCCCTCTGTCAGGCAAGCCTATCAAGAAGCACTGCATAGCGAACTCTCGCTGTCTTGTCCTAATGATACTGAACTTCAGTGGAATAGGATCTCGGCCACTGTGCACGACGCAGGAGCATCTGCTTGTGGCACTAGCAGTCGTCATCGCACCAGTCAGTGGATATCCGAGAGGTCCGTGAACCTTTTAGAAGCTAGAAGGCACCTCCCGGCTGGTTCTGAACACAATGTGACCAGACGGGCTATTAGGCGTGAACTCAAGCGGAGCCTACGTGCTGACAAGGAAGCCTGGTGGACCAGTAGGACTCAAGAAACGGAGGAGGCAGGAGCAGTAGGCAATTACCGCAAGCTCTTCCAGCTAATACGCACCACTGGTCCCAGAAAACCAGGCGTCAGTGAGACAATCAGAGACAGCGCGGGTGCGCTGATACACAATAAGGAGCGCCGTATGGCTGGTTGGGCTGAGCACTTTGAACATCCGTTCAGCTGGCCCCCTGCTCCCGGACCTCTTCCTACTCAGGTGATGCAGGACGAGCCATGGACGGTTAGTTTAGAGCCTCCGTCGGATGCCGAAGTCCTAACCAGGATCACAGCCCTTAATCGTTTTCGTGCCGCTGGCATTCGTTCCCTCCCACCTGCACTATTTAAGGATGGAGGTGAGGTCCTCTGCAAAGCACTGACCTCCCTATTCGAACGTATCTGGAACGAAGAGAGTGTGCCGGCTAATTGGAGCGAATCGATTATAGTGGCAATATACAAAAAGGGCAGTCGCACAGACTGCTCTAACCACAGGGGTATTAGCCTAACGCCAATTGTGACAAAATTATTGGCCTCGATTATCGTTCGTCGCCTCACTGCGGAACGGTAATCTCGGATTAGGGAAGATCAGGCTGGTTTCCGCCCAGGACATGGCTGTATAGACCATATATTTACTTTGCGGCAGGTGCTAGAGCAGCGCTACTCATACCGCAGACCGACAGTAGCTGTGTTCCTCAATTTCAAGAGTGCGTTCGATTCAGTCGATCGATCGATTCTGTTCGAATTACGTGCGCGGCAAGGTGTTCCCACGGAATATGTGAACATCCTTCGTGCTCTATGATCGAACACTACACGCCGCGTCAGGGTCTATGGTGCCCTATCGGATAGCTTTTCGACTACAAGTGGCGTTCGTCAGGGTTGCCCGATTTCCCCATTTTTGTTCAATTACGTCCTGGATTCTATCATGGAGTGTTCCCTTGCGGAATCTCACGATGTAGGTGTTGAAGTGCTGCCTGGTGAACGGTTAGTTGATCTAGATTATGCGGACGATATCGTCTTGCTTTTCGACAATGTTGAGGCGGCACAATCAACCCTGAATAGCCTATCCAGAGTGGTCCCATTATTTGGTATGCACTTCGCACCTTCAAAGTGCAAAGTGTTGCTGCAGGACCACCAGCCACTCGATGACCCCTTGACGCTTGCTAACGAGGAATTCGAGGTGGTTGATCATTTCACTTATCTTGGCAGCTGCATCAGCAATGATGGGC